CACTCATTTTCCCCTCTCTACCCCCCACTCCCCTGCCTTTTTGCTATAACCAGTGACGAATTCGAGGAGCAGTCCACTCAGGGCCATAAAACCGTAGTCTCAATTTTCGTTGCGTGGTTGGTGTCTTACTCCCTGGGCCGGGATCCTGGATGTGAGCGTGGGAACGTCTGAGTTTCTGTCAAGAGCAATAGACCCTTATGGTCAAGCCTGGATCTGATTAGTTGAAAACCAGGGAGGCCTAGGAGGCGGGGTTAAAATAATTAAATGAAAATGAAAATAAATCGAAATCTATGAAAATTCCATTTATGTTTGCAATCATAAACATTGAAATGGAATTGTAACATATTTAGTATTGCATGTGTTGCTCTTACGTGCAACAGATTGCATTGTTTTTTAAAAAAACATGTTTTTACCTGTCTGGTGTGGCATCTAAATAGTAGGAATATAAAAACATGCTTGTATTCAAATGGAACATTGTGTCAAAATTTCAAAGCAATCGGTGAAGAACTTTTGGAGATTACAGTGTGTGTTGCTCTTACATTCAACCGATGGTGCTGTTTTAAAAAAAAACATGTTTTTTCCTGTCACAGGTGAGGCATGTATATAGTAGGCATATAAAAACACGCACCTATTCAAATGCAACGTTTTGTCAAAATTTCAAAACAATCGGTAAAGAGGTTTCGAAGATTTCCTTTACATGAAAAACATATGAAAAACACAGTTTTACAAAAAAAGCCAGTTTTTCCCATCACAGACGTGACATCTATATAGTATGTATATAAAAACCTGCTCGGATGCAAATGGAACGTCGTGGCAAAATTTCAAAGCAATTGGTTTGCAAAGCAAAGCATAGAACTTTAGAAGATTTAGCGATTTTGAACTAACGAACATATATCAAATTTTTATAACAATATATACAGAGGGTACCACCTCTGGTTAGTTATAGGGACCCATAAGCCTCGAAGAAGACAATATGCAGCACCCGGGAGAGCCTTATAGATATATTAAATAATGTATGTAATAATAATAATAATAATAATAATAATAATAATAATAATAATAATAATAATAATAATAATAATAATATGTAATAATATATTATTCAGGAAAAGTACATACATAGATGCAGAGTTACAAACATACTGTTGGATTTATAGATAAAGCCAGTACATACAATACAAAATGCCACTAATACGCATAGCATTTCGCACAAGGTGTAGGGGGAAACACACACTTACACTAAATAGTAATTTGGAGTAAAGTATAAATTGTGTTGATAAAAAGAAATAAAAAAAAAAAAGGGGGGTAACATGGCAAAAATCAGCAACTGTACAAGTTGGTCAACAAACAGCATTGTTTAGAATAGCAAGACATGGGTTGACATTTAGGGGGTAAGGTAGGTTACATGGAGTTAATTAGGTAGTACTTAGTTGTACTCTTAAACTGGTTGAGAGAGGTACAGCCTTTGACATGATGGGGAAGGTCATTCCACATTCCAGGTCCCTTGAGATGTAGAGCATTTCTAGTTTGGTTAAGTCGCACTCTTGGAATATCAAATAGCTATTTGTTTCTGGTGTGGTGCTCATGGGTTCTGTTACAACATTCTAGGAAACTTTTAAGGTCAGGATTGACATTGCAGTTTAGAGTTTTAAATACTGTATATAGAGTACACATGAGAGGATGTGCAGTGACTTGATATCTAACATATTAAAAAATGTAAGGGTACCGAGTGCTGTCTGGGGCCAGAGTTATATATTGTTCTAATAGCAGCTTTATGTTGAGTAATTAGAGGACGTAAATGATTTTGGGTAGTAGAACCCCAAGCACAAATACCATAGTTGAGATAAGGATAGATGAGAGAGTAATAGTGTGTCACCAGAGCTTAATTGATTTTCTAATTCTCCTGAAAGTTTGGCTGGAAATGGAAAAAAAAGAGCTGCTTTGAATAGGCCAATAGGCAGAATGATTAATTATGTTCCCTGTGGAAGTAATACGATCTTAAGAACATAAGAACAAAGGTAACTGCAGAAGGCCTATTGGCCCATACGAGGCAGCTCCTATCTATAACCACCCAATCCCACTCATATACTTGTCCAACCCGCGCTTGAAACAATCGAGGGACCCCACCTCCACCACGTTACGCGGTAATTGGTTCCACAAATCAACAACCCTGTTACCGAACCAGTATTTACCCAAGTCTTTTCTAAATCTAAACTTATACAATTTATACCCATTGTTTCGTGTTCTGTCTTGTGTTGATACTTTTAATACCCTATAAATATTTCCTTTGTTATGTCCATTCATCCACTTGTAAACCTCTATCATGTCACCCCTAACTCTTCGCCTTTCCAGTGAATGCAACTTAAGCTTTGTTAATCTTTCTTCATATGAAAGATTTCTAATTTGGGGAATTAACTTAGTCATCCTACGTTGGACACGTTCAAGTGAATTTATATCCATTCTATAATACGGCGACCAAAACTGGACTGCATAATCTAAATGGGGCCTAACTAGAGCAAGATATAGCTTGAGAACCACACCAGGTGTCTTGTTACTAACGCTGCAATTAATAAATCCAAGTGTCCGATTTGCCTTATTACGAACATTTATGCATTGATCCTTTTGTTTTAAATTCTTACTAATCATAACTCCCAGATCCCTTTCGCAATCCGACTTCGCAATTTCAACACCATCTAGCTCGTATCTTGTAACTCTATCATCATTACCTAACCTCAGAACTTTACATTTATCAGCATTAAACTGCATCTGCCAATCCTTTGACCATTTCAAAACCCTATCTAGATCAACTTGAAGTGATAGCGAGTCCTTCTCCGAATTAATTTCCCTACCAATTTTCGTATCATCGGCAAATTTGCAAATGTTGCTACTCAAACCTGAATCTAAATCATTTATATATATTATAAACAACAGAGGTCCCAGGACAGAACCTTGAGGCACTCCACTTACAACATTTTCCCACTCTGACTTAACCCCATTTATACTAACTCTCTGTTTCCTTTGGTATAGCCATACCCTAATCCAGCTTAATATAGCACCCCCAATACCATGAGACTCTATCTTTTTAATCAGTCTTTCATGTGGCACTGTATCAAAAGCTTTGCTAAAGTCAAGGTACACAACATTTTTTTTTTTTTTTTTTTTTTTTTGAGATATATACAAGAGTTGTTACATTCTTGTACAGCCACTAGTACGCGTAGCGTTTCGGGCAGGTCCCTGGAATACGATCCCCTGCCGCGAAGAATCGTTTTTTCATCCAAGTACACATTTTACTGTTGCGTTAAACAGAGGCTACAGTTAAGGAATTGCGCCCAGTAAATCCTCCCCGGCCAGGATACGAACCCATGACATAGCGCTCGCGGAACGCCAGGCGAGTGTCTTACCACTACACCACGGAGACAACATCACAATCCTTACCACTATCAACTGCCTCAACTATGCTGGAATAAAAAGATAACAAATTTGTTAACATGAACAGCCATTTATAAAACCATGTTGCGACTCAATTATTAATTTATGTTTTTCAAGATGAAGACGAATTTTATTTGCTATTATAGATTCGATCTTTAACTTTGTTCAGTAACACTTTGAACATTGCTATCCACACAGTACTTCAGTACTCATAGAGCTGCAACATACTTTTGATAAACAAACAATTAGTGTAACAAGTGTCAAGGAAGTGCCAGCATAGGCAACATAACGTCCAGTGCCACAACACTCGGGCCAACAGTGCCAACACAGTGGTTACGACTAGAGGAATATTGGGTGTGGGCGAGGCAGCAGGAGGCGGCGAGGGTGGCACCCTTGGCCTCCAGCATGGGGGGTAGTAGACCTAGGCCTCCAGCATGGGGGGTAGTAGACCTTGCCTCCAGCATGGGGGGTAGTTGACCTAGGCCTCCAGCATGGGGGGAGTAGACCTTGCCTCCAGCATGGGGGGTAGTAGACCTTGCCTCCAGCATGGGGGGTAGTAGACCTAGGCCTCGAGCATGGGGGGTAGTAGACCTTGCCTCCAGCATGGGGGGTAGTAGACCTAGGCCTCGAGCATGGGGGGTAGTAGACCTTGCCTCCAGCATGGGGGGTAGTAGACCTAGGCCTCGAGCATGGGGGGTAGTAGACCTTGCCTCCAGCTTGGGGGGTAGTAGACCTAGGCCTCCAGCATGGGGGGTAGTAGACCCTGCCTCCAGCATGGGGGGTAGTAGACCCTGCCTCCAGCATAGGGGGTAGTAGACCTTGCCTCCAGCATGGGGGTAGTAGACCTAGGCCTCGAGCATGGGGGGTAGTAGACCCTGCCTCCAGCATGGGGGGGTAGTAGACCTTGCCTCCAGCATGGGGGTAGTAGACCTAGGCCTCGAGCATGGGGGGTAGTAGACCTAGGCCTCCAGCATGGGGGTAGTAGACCTAGGCCTCGAGCATGGGGGGTAGTAGACCTAGGCCTCCAGCATGGGGGGTAGTAGACCTAGGCCTCGAGCATGGGGGGTAGTAGACCCTGCCTCCAGCATGGGGGGTAGTAGACCTTGCCTCATGTTGACCAACAACCACCCCCACTGGCCCCACAACCACCCCCACTGGCCCCACAACCACCCCCACTCGTCCTCACCAACCACAACCACCCCCACTCGTCCTCACCAACCACAACCACCCCCACTCGTCCTCACCAACCACAACCACCCCCACTCGTCCTCACCAACCACAACCACCCCCACTCGTCCTCACCAACCACAACCACCACCACCACTCGTCCTCACCAACCACAACCACCACCACTCGTCCTCACCAACCACAACCACCACCACCACTCGTGTTAACAACCAGAGGAGTATAATGACCCGAGGAGCGTGATATAAGATCATGAGAGGCGACGAGGCCCAGACCACAGCTGTATAATGACTATGTGAAGGTCGACCATAACGCATCACTTGGCCAGGACCTTGCACGCACTCACACTCACGCACTCACACTCACACACTCACTCACGCACTCACCTTCATCAACACTTTCCTTATCTTCTTCTTATTCTTTGCCTTGTCGCCAACATCGGCCATAATACTCCTCACTAGGACATGGTTTCTCCTGCGCTGGGCCGAGGGCACTCACAACTCCGCAGCCATGTTGGATATTACTGCACGCTCACCAGGCCACCACGGGCCACTGTGGCCACGCTCACCAGGCCACCACGGGCCACTGTGGCCCCGCTCACGGCCACTGTGGCCCCGCTCACCAGGCCACCAGGGTCCACTGTGGCCACGCTCACCAGGCCACCACGGGCCACTGTGGCCCCGCTCACCAGGCCACCACGGGCCACTGTGGCCACGCTCCCGGCCACCACGGGCCACTGTGGCCCCGCTAACGGCCACCAGGGGTCACTGTGGCCACGCTCACCAGGCCACCACGGGCCACTGTGGCCACGCTCCCGGCCACCACGGGCCACTGTGGCCCCGCTCACGGCCACCACGGGCCACTGTGGCCACGCTCCCGGCCACCACGGGCCACTGTGGCCCCGCTCACCAGGCCACCACGGGCCACTGTGGCCCCGCTAACGGCCACCAGGGGTCACTGTGGCCACGCTCACCAGGCCACCACGGGCCACTGTGGCCACTCTCCCGGCCACCACGGGCCACTGTGGCCCCGCTAACGGCCACCAGGGGTCACTGTGGCCACGCTCACCAGGCCACCACGGGCCACTGTGGCCACGCTCCCGGCCACCACGGGCCACTGTGGCCCCGCTAACGGCCACCAGGGGTCACTGTGGCCACGCTCACCAGGCCACCACGGGCCACTGTGGCCACGCTCCCGGCCACCACGGGCCACTGTGGCCCCGCTCACGGCCACCACGGGCCACTGTGGCCACGCTCCCGGCCACCACGGGCCACTGTGGCCCCGCTCACGGCCACCACGGGCCACTGTGGCCACGCTCCCGGCCACCATGGGCCACTGTGGCCCCGCTCACCAGGCCACCACGGGCCACTGTGGCCACGCTCCCAGCCACCACGGGCCACTGTGGCCCCGCTCACCAGGCCACCAGGGGTCACTGTGGCCCTGCTCACGGCCACCACGGGCCACTGTGGCCCCGCTCATGACCACCAGGGGTCACTGTGGCCCCGCTCACGGCCACCAGGGGCCACTGTGGCCACGCTCCCGGAGTGGGCCTCTGTGGCCACGCTCACCAGGCCACTGTGGCCACGCTGACCACCAGGGGCACTGTGGCCACGCTGACCACCAGGGGCACTGTGGCCACGCTGACCACCAGGGGCACTGTGGCCACGCTGATCACCAGGGGGACTGTGGCCACGCTGACCACCAGGGCCACTGTGGCCACGCTGACCACCAGGGGCACTGTGGCCACGCTGACCACCAGGGCCACTGTGGCCACGCTGACCACCAGGGGCCACTGTGGCCCCGCTGACCACCAGGGGCACTGTGGCCCCGCTGACCACCAGGGGCCACTGTGGCCACGCTGACCACCAGGGGGGATTGTGGCCACGCTGACCACCAGGGGCACTGTGGCCACGCTGACCACCAGGGGCCACTGTGGCCACGCTGACCACCAGGGGCACTGTGGCCACGCTGACCACCAGGGGCACTGTGGCCACGCTGACCACCAGGGGCCACTGTGGCCACGCTGACCACCAGGGGCACTGTGGCCACGCTGACCACCAGGGGGACTGTGGCCACGCTGACCACCAGGGGGGACTGTGGCCACGCTGACCACCAGGGGCACTGTGGCCACGCTGACCACCAGGGGCACTGTGGCCACGCTGACCACCAGGGGCACTGTGGCCACGCTGACCACCAGGGGGGACTGTGGCCACGCTGACCACCAGGGGGACTGTGGCCACGCTGACCACCAGGGGGGACTGTGGCCACGCTGACCACCAGGGGCCACTGTGGCCACGCTGACCACCAGGGGGACTGTGGCCACCTTTTTTTGCAGGGATATTTGCAAAATTGATATTTTCACTTGATTTGCATATTTGCAATTCAAGTGCTGATATTAACTTACAGTTCCTAAACTCTGCGGACTATTATAACTTGCCTCATTATTTTTCTTGAGCTGTTTACTGTTTGTTGTCTGACACTTTAGTGCACTACATTGTGCGGTGACGGCCAGCAGGTCAAGTTGCTCATGTGGGGAAGTTGCAGACTCGTCCAACAGTCCCCTGAGATACTCTATCACTAGCCCTCAAGTGATAGGTCTTGTGCGAGAGGTTGACGACTGGAAAGAACGTTGTGAACGACCTTCATCAAACACAACAATTAGATGACGAGGGAATACTAATCTGGTAAACTTACTAGCTACCTGAAGGGTAGCACCTGATAGAGTGTGACGTCCCACGGCTACTTTAATAACCGTGACTGAACGTTATCTTGAGATGATTTCGGGGCTTTAGTGTCCCCGTGGCCCGGTCCTCGACCAGGCCTCCACCCCCAGGAAGCAGCCCGTGACAGCTGACTAACACCCACGTACCTATTTTAGTGCTAGGTAACAGGGGCATAGGGTGAAAGAAACTCTGCCCATTGTTTCTCGCCGGCGCCCGGGATCGAACCTGGGATCACAGGATCACAAGTCCAGTGTGCTGTCCGCTCGGCTCCCCGGTCGTGGTGGGCAACTTTGTTTTGTTAATACTTGTAACACACGTCTTCTTACTAATGACTGGAAGAGACTTAAATACCAATTTGGGGTAATGAAAGTTGTATTTTTGCTATCTCTTAATTGCAGCTACCACCAGAGGGTGGTCGACCATTTTAATAGGCTGCGATACATTGACCAGACCACACACTAGAAGGTGAAGGGACGACGACGTTTCGGTCCGTCCTCGACTATTCTCAAGTCGATTGTGAATGGTCCAGGACGGACCGAAACGTCATCGTCCCTTCACCTTCTAGTGTGTGGTCTGGTCAAATTACATTAGCCACGTTATTGTGACTCCTCGCCTGCATAGGCTACGATACTTTGCCCAAACGTAGTCTGCAATTTCTTGCCCCCCTTTTGAGCAGACAGAGAGTAATTAAATCTGCCCAAGAACTCCATACCCATTAAAATATCACCAAAGAATGCAAGATTATCGACAACCGTGCATGTATGGAGCTTTGACTCCCCCCATTACTAATTTCAAAGTTAATGGTGCCTTGACCCAAGATGTCAATGTGCTGCCCATTAACTGCTGTAGCAAGTACAAACAAGAGATTAGTAAGTATATTAAAGCACATTGGTATATTAAAGCTCTGATTGATTACATTGACAGCTTGATTGGTAATTTAAACAAGATTAATAGACACCATTCAGCAGATTGACAGTACATATAAGAAGACAGCAATGATTACAATGATAAAGATGTTCAGATTGGGTACATAAAGATTGGGAGATTGGGTAGCAATAGATACAGTGGAATTTTAAAGCAAAAGGTTAGAAACTATGAAGATGAAATTAGGTACTTTTTAGTATTGTTTTTGAATGATGTAAAAGTTGGACAGCTTTTCAATTCAATAGGGAGTGAGTTCCATAGACTGGATCCCTTTATTTGCATAGAGTGTTTACACAGATTAAGTTTGACTCTGGGGATATCAAAGAGATATTTATTTCTGGTGTGGTGATAATGGGTCCTATTACATCTGTCCAAGAAGAGTTTCAGAGCAGGATTTGCATTTAAGAACAGGGTTTTGTAAATGTAGTTGATACAAGAGAATTTGTGGAGTGAGATTATGTTTAGCATGTTTAGGGAGTTAAACAAGGGAGCTGTGTGTTGTCTGAAAGCAGAATTTGTTATTATTCTGATAGCAGATTTTTGCTGGGTGATGATGGGCTTGAGGTGGTTTGCAGTGGTTGAACCCCATGCACAGATACCATAGTTGAGATAGGGATAGATTAGTGCATAATATAGAGAGATGAGAGCAGAGTTAGGAACATAATATCTGATTTTGGAGAGTATACCAACTGTTTTAGAGACTTTCTTAGCTATGTGTTGTATGTGGGTGCTGAAGTTGAGTCTCTTGTCTAGGAATAGGCCAAGAAACTTTCCATCATTTTTATTGCTAATGTTTACATTGTCTATCTGAAGCTGAATTGCATTTGTAGATTTGCTTTCAAATAAGATGTAGTAGGTAGGTAGGTAGGACTTACCTCAACTTGAGGTAAGTCTACTACGGGCTCACCACAGCCCCTGCTACTTGGAACTTGTTCCAAGTAGCAGAAACTATAACTATAACAACAACGAATAGTCGACAGTACAGTTTCCACAGTGATTCAGATAACTTCAGTACAGACAACTTGGATTTACCTCACCTCCTCAACCTCAAGAATGTAGCACTCGGTGTGTACAGTTCTAATCGACCCCAAGACGCTTCAAGCTTCCACTCTCCAACCATTTGGTCCGGGAGACATCTCCCGTCACGCAGGGTGCAGTCGCACCTCCACAGATCTCCAGTATCAGCTCTTGATACTGGTGATGGCTCAAAAGGGCCACCACTTACGGGCTATTCATGCCCGTGCCACCTTTTGGGTGGCTTAATCTTCATCAATCAATCAATCTTCAAGCTTCGACACAGAGCAGACAGCAGACTACGACCGCATCGAGCTACATGCTCTCGCTCCCCATGAGTTCAGACCACGGGAGACATCTCCCGTCACGCAGGGTGCATTCGCACCTCCACAGATCTCCAGTATCAGCTCTTGATACTGGTAATGGCTCAAAAGGGCCACCACTTACGGGCTATTCATGCCCGTGCCACCTTTTGGGTGGCTTCATCTTCATCTTAACACATTCACAAAGGAGACATCTCCCGTCATGCAGGGTGCATTCGCACCTCCACAGATCTCCAGTATCAGCTCTTGATACTGGTAATGGCTCAAAAATGCCACCACTTACGGGCTATTCATGCCCGTGCCACCTTTTGGGTGGCTTAATCTTCATCAATCAATCAATCTTCAAGCTTCGACACAGAGCAGACAGCAGACTACGACCGCATCAAGCTACATGCTCTCGCTCCCCATGAGTTCAGACCACGGGAGACATCTCCCGTCACGCAGGGTGCAGTCGCACCTCCACAGATCTCCAGTATCATCTATTGCTACTGGTAATGACTCAAAAGGGCCACCACTTACGGGCTATTCATGCCCGTGCCACCTTTTGGGTGGCTTAATC